CCTTCAGGTTCTTTAGTAAAGGAATATATTTTGCTAATCAAATAATTTCTCCCAGCAAAGTACCCTAACCATGGAACACACTGTTTGCTGATGGTGATAATGATCATATATGTGGCATATAGATAACATTTCTTCTGCACTTACACCTTTCTTCTATAGTGACCATCCTTTTGCATAAACAATTGATGTGTGCTGTTTTCATAAAGTTTAAGTTTATACATTTAGAACACAAATTTAATTTGAACCATATTATTAACTATACTATAGTATTGAACTATAATATTTTATGTAGACAAAATCTATATTGTTTTTCTCCTTTTAGCTGAAAAACCAATCATCCTCAGAAAAATCTGGTAATGATCTAGAAAGTCCATCCATCCAAGACATTGACCAAATACTCTACAGACTGGCGACTGCAACGTCAATGATATCGAAGATCTTGGAGCACAAGTCTTACCATCCTTCCTCTAATAAAATTAAGCACTGCAAATTAAAGAAAAAGAAGAAGACTAAAGAAGGAGCCAAAAGATACTAAATATATGCATATGCAAATGCAGCTTAGTCAAATATAGAGACTACAAAAGAAATCTATTGAGAGGATCATCTAAGGACAAAAATGGTTCTTTGGAAACCTTCATAAATTTTTTGCCACAATCCTTATTGACATTTTCCAAAGAAGTCTGGGTTTAAATGCTATTTCCATTCAATTAAAAAAGAACCCAGGCTTATACTAGAGAAGAATTTACATACTATCACTGCTACATGTTTAAGCATTTTGTTCTTTTTAATGTATTAGGTTACTAATCATTAAGCAATATATGTAATAGTAGCTTAATTTAGTGTTTCAATAAATCTCTAATAAATAATATCTGTGATATGTCTTATTTTCCTGAGAAAATTTCATAACCACAGGAAGACTTCTAATTTCCTACTTCAGATTGCTAAAATAGCATGGAAATATTAAAGAATAGATTAATATTTTTAAGGATAAATGTTTTCATTTTCGGTATAATAAATGAATTATAGATTAGCATTTTTTAAATTTCAGACTTTTGTTGATAAGACAATTCAATTTTTTAAACTGTGGTTACCATATTTTTCAAAGAACAACTAGGAGATAGGCCTGAGACTGGGACAGAAGATTTCACTTAAAATATCTTGGAAAAATCCCAGAAAAATATATCTATAACATATCTGCCATCATTATAAGAGAGGAAAAAAACTTTTCAAAAATAATCCTTGAAACAGTAATAAACCGTACAGTTTTATAAGCAGTGGAAAAGAATAGTACTTGCCTTGGGCTATGATGGATTATAAAGGTTTATTTTGTTCCACTTTCCAGACTCTCTTAACCTCCATTCCTCCTTAGCACAACCCACCCTCACATTTCTATGCTTGTTTCATACCTTCAGAGTTCTGAAAAGTTAGATAATTCCCTCTGAGAGAACATTTATATATATTTATTTTAATGGTGAACTATTGAAGACTTTAAAAATCCCCAAACCTCTAAAACCCAAAGAAATTTATCTCTAATAATGGAATTTTCAGTAGAATGGAGATGACTCTTTGGGGTAGGGGTTTCTCAATCCTTTAAGATTCCCCAGGTAACTCCTACTCTAATTGCTAGAAGAAATAGACGTGATGTACACTCTTGATAAGATGGAATTAAATAAATGTTAAATTTTATGTTGAGTTATTTATGTTTCTGACATTCCACAGCTACATTACTATGAAACCGCATTCTGAATATGACTGAATTAAACAAATAGTAAGGCTGAATTAAATAAATGTTAAATTTTATGTCGAGTTATTTATGTTTCTGACATTAAACAGCTGTATTACTATGTAACTCCAGTATTAATTTCATCGTTGATCTGGAAACATAATACTAGTTTGCTTTTTATAGTTTTCATATCTTTTCACCAATAAGACATATAAGGTATAATTTCTCCAAGAACCTAAGGACCCAAATTAAACAGATGGATATTACAGGAAAGGAAACCAATAATACCTCACACCCATAAGCCCCAAAAATTTTTTCAGAAAAGTTATTGCAAAATTTGTCCTTGAATTGTGATTTTTAAATACTATGTGGCACATATACACCATGGAATACTATGCAGCCATAAAAAGGATGAGTTCATGTCCTTTGCAGAGACATGGATGAAGCTGGAAACCATCATTCTCAGCAAACTGTCACAAGAACAGAAAATCAAACACCACATGTCCTCACTCATAAGTGGGTGTTGAACAATGAGAACACATAGACACAGGGAAGGGAACATCACACAATGGGGCCTGTTGGGGGAGGGGTGGGGAGACTAGGGGTGGGGGGATTGGGGAGGGATAACATTAGGAGACATGCCTAATGTAGATGACGGGGGGATGGATGCAGCAAACCACCATGGCAAGTGTATATCCATGTAACAAACTGCACATTCTGCACATATACCCCAGAACTTAAAGTATAATAAAAAAAATTATTTTAATACTATGGGCCATTTTGCAAAAATGGATTTTAAATTATGGAATGTGGGCTGGGCATGGTGGCTCACGACTGTAATCCCAGCACTTTGGGAGACCGAGAAGGGCAGATCATGAGGTCAGGAGTTCGAGAGCAGCCTGACCAATATGGTGAAGCCCTATCCCTACTAAAAATACAAAAGTAGCCAGGCACATGCCTGTCACCCCAGCTACTTGGGAGGCTGAGGCAAGAGAATCGCTTGAGACTGGGAGACGCAGGTTGCAGCGAGTCAAGATCACGCCATTGCACTCTAGCCTGGGCAACAAGAACAAAACTCTGTCTCAAAAAAATATATATATATATGTGTGTGTGTGTGTGTGTGTGTGTGTGTGTGTGTGTGTGTACATATACATATATATGGAATGTGAATTTCATCTAAAATTACTAATCATGGGAGGAGTCAATTGAATTGTTTGCTATTTGTGTTTTCCTTTACTTACAGATCTAATCATAAAAACAGAAGATTTGACATATGATTGCTCATAGAAAACATTTAGTTCAAGTGGACAGTATAAAAATAATCTACAAAGCACAACCCATCTCTTTCTTCCCAAATGTGTTTCCTTCCTTTAATTTCCTCATTTCTACCAATTCTTCTAGTCCCTTTCTCATTTTATTGATGAACATGCACCTAACCACTACCAGCTGAATCTTCCTCAGGATCACTTTTATCCTCCTCCTCTTGTACATAAAAACTTTCCATGGCTCCCAGAATAACATAAAAATACCTTAGCCTGGCATTTAAGGGTAAGATGTAATAAAGGCAGTAGCATTGTTCAAGTGCTGACCACATGCCAGGTATTGTGCTAACTGCTTTATATCATCTCATTTACTTTTCACAGCAATCCCTAAAAAGTAGGAATTATATTTTGGCCCCTTTTACAGAGAAAGAAACTGAGGTATAGAGAATGTAAGCACCTTATCGTAATTCAAGCACCAAGGTCACAGAGATTTCAAGTAGGGGCACCAGTATTTAAACTCAATCTCAAGAGGACATGTACTCAGCCCCTTTGTTATTCTACTTATGTTATAGCCTACCTGTGGAAACTATGATCCCTTGCTCAATAAGACAATCTTGTCACTGTCCTCCAGCACGCCACTTTCACTCACAGCTCTAACATTTTGCTCATGCCCTTTCCCCTTCTATTGCATATTCAAATCCCATCCATTCTTCAAGGCCCAGCTCAAGCCCGACATGCTCTGACTTCCTATTCTTTCACTACCCTGTAGCACAGAATACCTGTTCTGCCAATTTTAACCTTTAATCACAGTCTTTCCAATATTTTTATAGAATTGTTGAATGTGTCCATAACTTATCATCTCCCACCTAACCAAGTATCCAGAGGGCAGGAACAACCAATTGTATCTACAGCAATACTATGTTCACAATGGGAATTCAATAAATGCTTGTACAAAAGTACATCTTCCTGAAATCTCTTTAAGCTACATTTTATAGGGCTGTGGGAAGTATATGTGTAAAATATTAGCAAAAGTCAAAATAGTACTGTTTTTTGAACTTTTTATTGAAGTATAACTTACAAACAGAAAAGTGCAAAAATTATGTGTACAGCTTAATGAATTTTCAAAGAAACATACCCATATACCAGCAACCAGGTTAAGAAAAAGAACATTACATCCCAGAAGTTTCCCCATGCCTAAGGGTAGCTATTATTCTGACTATTAGCACTATAAATTAATTTATCCTAAATAAATCTTTCTAAAATTATTGTTATAACCTTTTTATATTTGAGAAATCAAATATATTACTCAAATTATGCCATTTTTTTAAACATTTAAGGAACAATCCACTTTGCCTGAGTCTCTCAGAAAATGGCTTTGGGCTGGGCGCGGTGGCTCACGCCTGTAATCTCAGCACTTTGGGAGGCCGAGGTGGGTGGATCACGAGGTCAAGAGATCGAGACCATCCTGGTCAACACGGTGAAACCCCGTCTCTACTAAAACTACAAAAAATTAGCTGGGCATGGTGGCGCGTGCCTGTAATCCCAGCTACTCAGGAGGCTGAGGCAGGAGAATTGCCTGAACCCAAGAGGCGGTGGTTGCGGTGAGCCGAGATCGCGCCATTGCACTCCAGCCTGGGTAACAAGAGCGAAACTCGGTCTCAAAAAAAAAAAAAGAAAATGGCTTTGAACATTCAATAATCTTCTCATAGAAATTATTTTCTCACAGAAAATTATTGGTGAGAAATTTCTTATAGAAATTATTGGCAAGAAAATTATTGGTGAGACAGAAGTTGGTAAATCAACAAGCTTCCAATATGTACAGTTCCCAATAAATACAATGTTTAGGGCCAATAGCAAAATAAAGAAAAAGGGAAAATTTTCATTTATTATTGCCAACTGTGACTATGGTTGTATCTACAAATAAAACACTGTGAAAAAAGGTGACATAGCCTATAACTCATAGGAGAAAAACTCATCACATCAGTCAGTTTGCTAACCCTTGTGAGCTTCCTTACCTGCCCAGTCCAGGAATTCAACACACTCAGTCTGGGAATATTTAGCAGCAACATCTCGAGCCCTTTCTTCCCGGAAGTTCAAAGCTTCTATATCAACATCCAGTTCTACTAGTGCTTTCAAAGTTTCCAAACGACCCCAGGCTGCAGCACAGTGTAAGAGTGTGTACCCTAACAAATGGAATGAAGATGGTGAGATCAAACAGATTACATTGTTTTAGGCTAATTTACATAGTGAAAGATCCTAATGGCCAGATGCAGTGGCTCATGCCTATAATCCCAGCACTTCAGGAGGTCAAGGTGGGAGGATCCCCTGGGGTCAGGAGTTCAAGACCAGCCTAGCCAACATGACAAAACCCCCTCTCTACTAAAAAATACAAAAAATAGCCGGGCATGGTGGTGTACGTCTATAATCCCAGCTACTCGGGAGGCTAAACCCAGAAGGTGGAGGCTGCAGTGAGTCAACATTGTTCCAATGGGTGACAGAACAAGACTCTGTCTCAAAAAAAGCAACAAAACAACTATATATAGATAGATGTTTTACATATATATAGATATTTTACACACACATATATATATATATAATCAAATGTTTTTCAATTGTCATTTTCACTGAACACAATCTTGTATTATCAATCTTTTCCTTTCCATCTATTCTCTTTCTTTCTTTCCTTTTTTTTTTTTTTTTTCCCCAGAAACAGGGTCTTATTATATTACCCAGGCTGGTCTTGAACTTCTGACCTCAAGCAATCTTCCTACCTTGGCCTCCCAAAGTGCTGAGATTATAGGTATAAGCCTCTGCACCTGGCCTCCAGCAGCCTATTTCTTTACTTTCAATGTCATTAATTTATTCCATTATTTTTCTTTTACTTGCTTTTTTTTTTTTTTGGAGACAAAGTCTCACTCTGTCAGCCAGGCTAGAGTACAGTGTGGTACAATCACAGCTAACTGCAACCTCTGTCTCCTAGGCTCCAGGAATTCTGCCTCAGCCCCTCAAGTAGCTGGAATTATAGGCGTGTGCCACCATGCCCGCATAATTTTTGTATTTTTAGTAGAGAAAGAGTTTCACCATGTTGGCCAGGCTGGCCTCAAACTCCTGACTGCAGGTAATGCGCCCACCTTGGCCTCCCAAAGTGCTTGGATTACAGGTGTTAGCCACTGAGCCTGGTCTTTTCTTTTACTTTCTTCGGTTACTCTTTTTTTTTTTTTTGAGGCAGAGTTTCGCTCTTGTTACCCAGGCTGGAGTGCAATGGCACGATCTCGGCTCACTGCAACCTCTGCCTCCTGGGTTCAGGCAATTCTCCTGCCTCAGCCTCCTCAGTAGCTGTGATTACAGGCACATGCCACCATGCCCAGCTGATTTTTTGTATTTTTAGTAGAGACGGGGTTTCACCGTGTTGACCAGGATGGTCTCGATCTCTTGACCTTGTGATCCACCCGCCTCGGCCTCCCAAAGTGCTGGGATTACAGGTGTGAGTAGTTGTTCTTTTTCTAATTTGTTTAGTCAAATGCTTTGCTTACTAATTTTTTATGTTTCTTATATTCTAACATATGCATTATACCAGAATTTTAATATTAGTTGTATCCCATAGGTTCAAACATAAAGTGATGCTGTTGTCACTTAAACATTTCATCATTTTCATCATATCTTCTGTGACCAATAGATGATTTAAAGTGTATTCTTAGCCAGGCATGGTGGCTCATGCCTGTAATCCCAACACTTTGGGAGGCCACTCCCAGTGGGAGGTCAGGAGTTCAAGACCATCTTGGCCAACATGGCAAAACCCCATCTCTACTAAAAAATACAAAAATTAGAAAGGCGTGGGGACCCACACCATAGTCCCAGCCACTAGGGAGGCTAAGGTGTAAGAATCACTTGAACCCGGGAGATGGAGGTTGCAGTGAGCCGATATCATGCCATTGCACCCCAGACTGGGCAACAGAGTGAGACACTGTCTCAAAAAATGAAAATAAAAATAATAAATAAATAAAGTATGTTCTTGCTTTCAGTTTTGTTATCTTTTGTTACTATTTTCTAATTTTATTTTGTTGTAGTCACTGATCAAAGACTATATGCTACAGATTCTTTGATGCTTCTTACGACTTCATGACTCAACATATACCAATATTTTTTAAATGTTCCATGTGAGCATGAATACAATGTATATCCTGTCTTTGCTGAAGATCATGCTGATGATCATTTTTTTTTAATTTTCTACCATGACCACGTATTATATTTGCAATCTGAAAAAAAAAATACTGAATTTAAAATGCTAATTAGATGATTGCTAAAAATTAATACATCTTCAGTGGAAAGAGATAACAGCAAATCATTACACATTTACTATATACCAATTTGCTACATACCAGAACTAAAATATTTATTTTTATCCTATTTAATCCTCATTATACCCTATAAGGAAAATACAGTTATTATCCCCATTTTGCAGATGGAAAAACAGATACACAAAAAGATCAGGTAACTTACCAAATCACACAACTAATAAATAGTGAAGTCTATTGTCTAAAATATTATACTATGTAATATCAACATTGATACATTTACATGTATACACATACATACACCCATATAGATGTATATATACATATATGTAAAGTATAAAACAAGCACATCCAATATATCTAACCTTAAAGATATTACATGGCATCTTTAGGTAGTCATAAGTAATACTGATGAGAGAAAAAAGACAAAATACCTCTTGTGGTTTTTTCATTCAGATTCACACCGTATTTTGCCAAAGCTCTAATCACGTCACTTTGCCCAGCCATGCAAGCTGCATACAACAAGTTTCTCCCAACAATGTCTTCTTCTAAGAGAAGCTGCATGGCCTGTTCATGATGAGGATTCTCTGGATCCTCAAAAATCTTCTGCAAACCCTCTACATCCCCTGTGAGAGCAGGCTGTAAAAGTGGGTTCCTGGGGCTTGTTTCCTCTGGTTCTTGGGCTTCTTCTTCATCTTCTTCTTGTTGTGAGAAAAATTCTGAGCTCTCTGACTCAAGAGGTCCTTCTGACTCCATTAACTCCAAAAATACCTATGACCAAAAAAAAAAAGTGATAAAAACCTACTCAAATACATCAGTGTTTGTTTATTTATTTGCCCAGTCAACTGACAATATAGATGGTATAAAAATACTTAACTAGTTGAAAATAACTATAAAATAAGATACTTCAGCAATTCCATCAATAAAGTTTATTGTGTACCTATTATGAGTAGGTACACATAAAACAGCCTAAGTCTACACTAAAATGCTAAATGTGTGAAATAATAGTAAATTCAACAGAAACAAGAGAAGAAAGAGATCAATGTGATCTAAACTTATTAGGAAAAGATTTCAAAAGAATGTCTAAGAGACCCACCTGCCTAAATAAGAGTCAATGTATGAGAGAAGTGAGAAATATAATTAGGTTGTTGGAGCCAGATTACGAAGACTTTAAAAATTAGGCACCAATATTTAAACAGAATTCATTCACTCAGTAACATATACTGAAAGTACTGTGTAAACTACAAAAACCAGAATCAAATTTATTTCCTACTCTCAGCAAGTTACTATTTTAAGGAAAAAAATATAACATGCACAAAATAAGTGTAATAAGAGGTGACAAGCAGTAAATACCATAACAAAAGAAATGCTATGGGAGTTTAGAAGGGAGAAGATTAATTCCAGATAAAATTATTCAAGGATGTCTTTTTTTTTTTTCCACATCAGACAGGTAATGTGCCCATGTTGTAACATGGTTTAAAAGAGGTACATCTCACAAATGATCACGAAAACCCAACAATCACACCTATGAACTACAAAAGGATCTAACTAAGGATGTCTTGATAGTGCTTCAGTATGACAAAACACAATATTAAACTGGGAAAGATGCAGAAAAGAGTACCATAGTCCCTTCATACAAGAATATGTGTGGCATCACCGTTCACAACAGCAAAAAACCCAGAAGGGAAAACTGAAGTCCAAGAAGAGAGGAGCATAACTGGTATATTCACATAAAATGGTATATAACTGTTACAAGAAATAAATTACAGTGCTATACCAAATGGTAGGCAGCTTCTGACAAGGCTCCCAATGTCCCACCCCTGCCTCTTGGTATTCATACCTTTGTGTAATTTCCTCACCTTGAGGGTGGGCTGGACCCAGTGACTGGCTTCTAATGAAGGGAATACAGCAAGAGTGATGGGATGTAAATTCTGCAATTCAGTTATAATGTAGACTGTGATTTTTGTCTTGCTGATATTCTCTCCCTGGCTTTTCTCATGTGCTGTGATGGAGAAGGCTACCTTTCAAGGAGCTGAGGGTGATCTCTGTCCAACAGCCAGTAAGAAGCAAGGCTCTTAATCCAATTCCATGAGGGACTTAATTCTGCCAGCAACCACTGAGTGAGCTTGGAAGTAGATCTGGCCCAGTTAACCTTGAGGTGACCATGACCTCAGGCAACACCTTGATTATAGTCTCATGAGAAATCCTGAAATAGAGAATCCAGCTAACTTGTGCCTGGATTCCTGACCACAGAAACTGTCAGATAATGAATAAGTGTTGTTTTTAACCTACCAAGCTTGGGGCTAATTTGTCACACAGCAATAATAAGACACAGAACAATATAAATGAATCTTACCAATATATTATATGAAAAATGTAAACCCAAAAGATTGTGTGTGTGTGTGTGTGTATATATATATATCAAGATATATTTTTGTCAACTGAAAAGCAATTAAACAGACTTTTTAGGAATACAAGTAGATGCAATAACACTGCACAGAAAAAAAAAGACACAAAGCAAGACTGAACACAAGATTCAAGATAATGTTTACCATGGGTGGAGGGTAGTGGGAGAAGAAAAGATGCAGAAAATGTAATAAAGGGAATTATATTTTTAGTAAAGAATATTAACATTTAAGTTGAGCCATCAAGAATGGGCAAGACTCTGTCATTCAGAAGTCAGAGGGAAGGAAATTCCAGATGGAATAACTAAGTTAAAGCACCAAAGCAAAGATCACAGTTATTTTTGGGAATGAGTATGTTGGCCAGTTTGGTTAACTATAGGCCATTCAAAATAAGCAAGAAGTCTGCTCTTAAAAGAGGCTGGGGTTGCTTCAGTAAGTCTGAACTTGATTCTGTAGTAACTGGTGGAGTGGGGAGCAATTAAGGACAGTTAGCTGAAGGTTTTAGTGCTAAGGAACTATGTAGGTTTCAAGGAGATTGATCTGACAAGCCTGGGTGACATAGATTAGAGGAAAAAGAGACTCAAGGCAAAAAAGAAAAATCAATGAGACAGTTATTTCAGAAGTCTGAATTAGCATGAATTAGGGCTTTAATTATTCACTCATATAATTCAGTGTTTATTGGATTCCTTCCTCTATGCCAGGTACTATGCTAAGTCCTGAGGATTCAACAAGGTAGAAAAGATCCTTCCTATCCTGAAGCTTATATTCTGATTGGGCACAGGCAATAAAAAAGAAAACAAATGTGATGATTTTAGATTGTTATGTTTCAAAGGAAATAAACATGGTGAAGTGATAAGAACAGGGAAGTGAAGAGAAAAAACTTCAAAAAGAAAAATCAAGGTGATACTGAAGTAGGACTGCAGAGAATCACAAAGACTATCAAGGCCGCAGGAAGATGGAACAGCATTCCAAAGCAGGGGTAAAAGGTCAGACAGCAAACATTTTAGGCTTGTGGGCCCTACTGTCCCTATTCTAACTACTCAGCTTTGCAGTTGTCGCATGAAAGTGGTCATAGACAATACACAAATGAATGGGCATGGCTGCGTTTAAAGAAAACATTATTTACAAAACAGGTGGTGTTCTACAGGCCATAGTTTTCTGACCCTGCTCTTAAAAAACAACAGTCCCCTGTGGCTCACGCCTATAATCCCAACACTTTGGGAGGCCAAGGCGGGTGGGTCACAAGGCCAAGAGATCAAGATCATCCTGGTCAACATGGTGAAACCCCGTCTCTACTAAAAATACAAAAATTAGCTGGGCATGGTGGTGCGTGCCTGTAGTCCCAGCTACTCAGGAGGCTGAGGTAGGAGAATTGCTTGAACTCAGGAGGTGGAGGTTGCAGTGAGCCAAGATCGCACCATTGCACTCCAGCCTGGGTAACAAGAGTGAAACTCTGTCTCAAAAAAAAAAAGAAAAAAGAAACAACAGTCCCTGCAGATGCAGTTGCTGATGAGAAAAAAAAAGAAACAGTCCTAAAGAGTGCTGAAAGAAAACTGTCATTTAGTTCTACAGTGAAGAAAATAAATAGGATAACAGTGGAAAGATCATTGTGAAATGCATTTTAAATTGGTAGAACATTAGAATCTTCTCTATTATAAGCTGTTAGGGATTCTTTGACACAGAAATAATAGAAAAGACAATAAGACTGACTATTTAAAGAGATTCTTTTCACACATGAGAAATTTAAAGATGGAGATGGTTCAGCAGCTCAAAAATACAGATCCAATCTCTTTCTATCACTCTATTCCAGCATACTTAGTGTGTAAGACTTTCATCTTCACAACTCTTACCTCATGTTATAACTCCTGGAATCTCATCTTAATTGATGGCAGGAAGAATGGGGAATCCCCTAGAGGATGCCAGTGATATAAATCCCTCCAATCCCTCTTAAGGGGAAAGCAAAACAAAAATCTTTCCTAACAAGTCCCAGCAAACTTCCAGTTGTATCTCAAAGGCTGTGCAATGTCATGTGGCTACCCCTTCTTTAAGAGGAGAGAAAAGGCCAGGCGCAGTGGCTCATCCTTGTAATCCCAGGACTTTGGGAGGCTGAGGTGGGTGGATCACCTGAGGTCAGGAGTTTGAGACCAGCCTGGCCAACATGGTGAAATCCTGTCTCTACTAAAAATACAAAAATTAGCCAGACGTGGTGGCATGTGCCTGTAATCCCAGCTACCAGGAGACTGAGGCAGAAGAATCGCTAGAACACAGCGGGCAGAGGCTGCAGTGAGCAGAGATTGCACCACTGCACTCCAGCCTGGACGACAGAGCAAGACTCCATGTCAAAAAAAAAAAAAAAAAAAGACAGAAGAGGAAAGAAAAAGAAAGTTTCTTGATTTTTCCAGCCTCTATGATAGAGGCAAGCAAGGTAGACAGGGGTTGGAAATGGGAGTTGAGTTATCTAATTAACCATGACTCATAGTGGAAACTTAATTCTTCAGTGTCTGACATCCAACTCCCCACCCTTCCAACACAAACACACACACACAAACACAAACACAAACATACACACACATGACTTCTTTAAAGCACTCCTATCTCAGTTTCAGAGAATTCTAATAAAAGATATAGCTAATTTCCTACAACAGAAGACAAAGAAGCAAGATTCTTCTTTTTTCCCTCTCAGCACAAGCCTGGGGGGCAGGCACATTATTTAAGCTCAGCCAACCAGGGGCTCCATCCCATGAGTCTAACTCTTTAACAATGGACACAAGGAAATGAGGCTAGTTCAAGGGCATTCATCATAAGTACAGAAACAGTATGCTGATCAAACTTCCTACTATGAGAACATGCTGTGGTTCTTGTGGTCTGATCCTCCACAGTTCCTTGGTTTCCTCATTTTCAGTCTCCTAATGATTACTAGTTGTCTTCCCCAAAATCTCAACTCCTTTTCTTTTGGAATAGAACCCCACCCTCTTTTCTTTTAACAAGGCTTTTTTTTTTTTTAAACCAATCTTTATGGTGGAATAAGACTATTTTCCAGTCTCTCTTATAATATGGTGTGGCCACATGTCCAAATAGCAAGCAATATGATGTAAGCAGACATATAGATTACAAATTCCAGGAATATTTAATTCCTTCTCGCTGGATTTCAAGCATAATGGCTGGAACTTGCAAGGATAATTTAGACCATGAGGTGGTTGTTCTCTTCAAATACATATATATTATTTTATGATCTTGTATAAATTATTTCTGTTATAATACATAATATATTAGTTTATGACATTTCATTTTAATTTTACATGTAAATATATATAACTGCTATCAATAGAGTAATTACATAATTTATTGATTGGTAACTGGATAATT